GTGAGGGAACATAGAAGTGTGGATTTCTATTCTTTTCTCCTGTTCTTTTATAAAAGAAAGCTGAAGTACTAGAATAGCTGGAGGATGGCTTCTCTGAGATAGACTTTGTTTCACTGATGAAATATTTATGACGATACGTTGCCTAGCAATGGTCACCGGATCTGCCTGCATATGCAGGAGGGAGACTCAAGGGGGCATTTCCCTTGGAAACACAGCAAAGAGAAAACCAGCTGAAAGAGTACGGCTTCCTTCATGAAATTCCTCCAGGTTTCAGGCAAGGAAAATCTTTATTGGGGGAAATGGTTGCATGGACTAGAATAATTTCACAGCTGGGTGAGAGTGGATTAGGAGGGAGACCTTCAACTGGTGAAAATAGGCATATTGTCAGGAAGCTTTTATCTGTCAGTAGCAAAATGTTTTATTTTTTCACCGTCCACCAATGTGGATTGTGACAATACTACTCTTGTTCTTGCCCCCTCAGCCCTTCCTGGCTGTCAAGCTGTTGGGCTCAAGTAAATCTTGAGCTAGGTCCCTGAATTCAGGACCTATTCTCTTTAGGGGTGTAGGTGTCCAGGTGTTGGAACATCTCATAAAGAAAGAGTAGACTGCATTGTGTCGAATATAATTCTTTTATGAGGGACACTTAAAGATAATATATGCTTCCTCAGAAGAGTTGCTCCTCATCCCAGATGTTACCATCAAACCACTGGATGAGGAAACTGAGAGAAACCCTTGAAATCATTGTCCCCTTCCTTCTTTCTTCCTTTTCATTTTTACTCACAAAAGACATTGCCCCCTCTCTTCGTAACCCCATGTTTTGAAACTAGATTCATCCCACCAAGATAATGTATTTACAGGTTAAAAATAAAGAAACCTAACATCTTTATTAACACGTGCAGTATTAACCTAGGTAAGTATTAACCTAGGTAAGTGTCCAATTTCTTTCAGATACTTTTCAGTATTAAATGTAGTTCAATGACCTCGAAATTTCCTTTGTATATTCTAATGGATGATGAAACTCACGTTGGAAATTATGGATTTACTCTATCCTCCTCATTTTTCAGAAGAGGAAAGCGAACCCCTTAAACTAAAGTAACACACCTAGGAAGATTCATGAGTACAGTAGGCCCTCCATATCCACAAGTTCCACAGCCACAGATTCAACCAGTTGCAAATCAAAATATTCAGAAAAATTGCATCTCTACTGAACATATACAGACTTTTAAAAATTACTATCCCACGGACAATGTGATACAATAACCATTCACGTAGAAGTTACATTGTTTTAGGTATTATAAGTAATCTAGTGGTGATTTAAAGTACATAAGCACTCTGCTATTTGTACAAGGGACTTGAGCCTCTGTGGACTTTGGTATTTGTAGGGTTCCAGGAACCAATCTCATGAAACTACTAGAATAGAAGAATAGAAGCTGGGTCAACCACCTTGGAGACTGATGAGAGCAGCAGTTCTCTGCTGCAATCTTACACTGCAACCTTCTTAAGGAACTTAAAATACTAACACCTGGGTCTAGAGATTCTGATTTAATTGGTCTGGGTTGGGATTCAAGCATTTGACTTCAATGTGTAACTGAGATCAAAGGAATCACAAATGCTTCCACACATTGAGAGTCCCTGAATAGACTTTTTCTACTGAAGAGGTCTATTCTCCCCCATTCCACCCTATTCTATTCGATTTGTGTTTTAGTCAGGTTTTTATTTCTTGCTGCTACAATCAAAAGACCTGACAAGAACAATTTTAGAGCAGGAAAAGTTTACCTGGGGATCACGGTTTCAGAGGTCTCAGTCTGTGGACAGTCGGCTGTATTACTCTGGACCCGAGATGAGACAGAACATCATAGTAGAAGAATGTGATGGAGGAAAACAACTCAGGACGTGGACACCAGGAAGCTGAGAAAGCTCTCACTCACCAGGAACAAAACATATGCCCCAAAGGTGGGCCTCCAGGTACCCATCTCCTTCCTCCAGCTACACCCTACTTGTCTACAGTTACCACCCAGTTCATCTGGATCAGGGGAGTAATTACTAATTAGGTTAAGATTCTCACAACCCAATCATTTCACCTCTAAACTTTCTTGCATCATCCCACACATGAGCTTTTGGGGGACATCTCATTATCTAAACTATAACAACTTGATAACAGAAGAAGGGCTTCAATTCAGAAATGAAGACAGATCAAGATGGACTTTCCAGGAAAGAAGGACATCCTAGCAGTTTATAAAAGCTGAAGACTTGCAAAAACTCTTCTAAGCAGTAGCTAGTTGTGGGCAAAAGCATGCTTCTGACTAAGACGGGTAGAATAAGAATGTTCACAAATTGTCTGATTCTGGACATGTTTTAAAAATATCCAGAGGTCAACTTGCTCATCTGCAAAATGGGTCTTAGGAGACATGGAGCTTCTGGATAAGAAACGTGGATAGCGAATGGGGAGACAGTAGTCAACTGGAAAGTCAGCTGTGTGACTCCTAATGAAGACAGCTTGCTGTTATCATGCAATGGGAGTCTGGCACTGA